GTGTGTGTGTGTGTGTGTGTGTATGAGAGAGACAGACACAGTCCGCGAGGTTTCCCAGCATTCATTCCGCGCTCTGTCACCACGCACCATGAAGCACTCGATCCACAACAAATTACCTGTCTCCTGCTGTTCTCTTCCGCTCCAGCATTACATTTATCTATCGTTTTTTATTATGTATCAAAATTGACCACCCGAGAGGCTTATAAACATATTCTGATTTCATTTTTTTCCTAGCCTAACAATTAGGAGGCAAAGCAATAAGCTAACCAAGAATGGGGGAGGAAGATTAGAAATAAGATAGCAGGAATATTATATTGTGTCCCAACCAGGCGTGATGCCACCAAATTCAAGCGATTTCTCTGTCAACACTGAATTTGAATGTGGGACAATTACAGCCAATCAGAACATATTTGATGTTTATTGCATTTGGTTAGGATAAAAGCACAATTTTGCCTTGCTTTTATCATCCTCAAAACTTAAAGATTGACAAAGTGAAAATTAATCTCAGTTCTTAGGCCCTGTTTACACCTGGTATTAAGATGCCTTATTGTTGATCCAATCACAAATAGACAACGCTAAATACACATGTAAACGGGGTCCGAAAAGTTAGCAAGACGGGATTTAAACCTTGCTGCTGAAATCAGAAGTTTGGTTTGAAGGCAAATAAAAAAAAAAGTAAAAAGCAAAATGTTCTCTTACCGCTCATGATTCTAACACAAACCCACAGTGTTCTGTGTATTTTTGTGGCTTTCAGACCAGAAATGAAAGAAGCTGCTCTAAATATGGTTTTCCGTTGCCTCTTTTTGTGTTCAATATGTAAATTTCACAATATTAGATTAAAAGATCAGAAAAAGCCCATACATATTCCTGCCCTTCAAAGAAATTAGGAAAGTGGTCGGAAATGGACAAAAGAGACACCAGATGTTAACTGGAATGTGCACCCCCCAACCACTCCCTCGTGATCCAATCGTCCAAAACACATCTTATTAGCAGGATTAAATGAGAAAACTTCATTCAAGCTCACCTTGGTGGCCAGCAGTCGTGTCAGGTAGATCTCGGACACCATCTTGCTCCCGCGATCGCCCTCGCGCTGGTCTGCATGGTCGTGGTTTTTGACGAGGTGCCAGAGTTTGGTACCGCTCTCTAGATCGGGTGTGATCATGGGCGTCCGGGACCGCAGACTGTCTGGGCTGCTGGCCGTCCTCAACATGCTCTCTGAAGAGAAAAACAAAGTCAATCATCAAAAGATTTCTAGCATTTTATAACACGGATAGCACACTTTTTACATTTGCTAGGATGAGAAACAATAATACTTGCCAAAA